TTTGAACCTGAAGTCTCACCTTCTTCAAGAGGTACTTCTTCTACCTTCGCTGTGCCTTCATCATGTACGTCTTTATCTTCATGTTGTTCAACATCTATGAAAGCCACGAGTGCTGCTTTTTTTGAATCTGAAGCCTCATTTTCTTCAAGAGGTACTTCTTCTACCTTCGCTGTGCCTTCATCATGTAGCGCTTCATCTTCACATTGTTCAACATCTACAAAAGTCACATATGCTTCTTTTTTTGAATCTGAAGCCTCACATTCTTCAAGAAACACTGGTTCTACCTTTGCTGTGCTTTCTATTGGAGATGCTACAGTAGTATCCTCAACTTTAGGTAAGTCTGCTCTGGAAGTCCAAACAGAACTGTACTTTGTATATGAATCATTTAGACTCTAAGAAAATACATTAAAAATGAAAACATAAATATGGACATGATACATTTAAATATCTAAATTATATCAGAAGTTCTAACAAAATGGGATGTTCGTAGATCAAATAGGTTTTAAGGCCAGAAAGGACTATGATGATCATCTAGTCTGACCTGTATAACACAGCCAAATAGACTTCTACCCAGTAATTCCTGCATTGAGCCCATAACTTCTTATTGAACTAGAACATACATTTTAGAAAGACATCCAATCTTGATTTAAAGACTTCAAGGTGATGGAGAATTCACCATATCCCTTGGTAACTGGTTCCAGTGGTTAACTGTTCTGTTAAAAATTTACATCTTATTTCTAGATTGAATTTATCTAGCTTCATCTTCTAGTCGCGGGATCTTGTTATGGCTCTCTCTGCCAAATTAATGAGCCTTCTGGTATCCAATATTTTGTCTCTGTGTAGATACTTATGGACTGTGGTCAAATTATCTTTTAACCTTCTCTTTTAATAAACTAAATAGAATAATCTCCTTACATCTCTCACTGTAAGGCAGGATTTCCAGGCCTCAACTCATTCTGGTAGGTACTTTCTCCAACCCTCTCCAATTCTTCAACAAAACCCTATGTTGCAGAAACTATACATAGCAGCAACTAACTATACATTTTTAGAATATCCATTTCCACTTTATCTTTGAACTGGGCTCTGATAAATGGCTCATCCAGAAAAGGATAGAAATGGATCACTTCTCACCATAGGGCTACTACTAATACCACAAGGACTTTCATAAATAATCTAAGCACTGTGACCTGTCCAAAAGGCAATGATCAATATTGAAATACTGATGCCCACAGGCTAAATGGAAAAAAAATTGAGAAGGAAAATTGGAACATAGAGGTAAGCTTTCTTCAAGTCTGTGGATGACTGGTTGTCTCCCCTACTGATGGTTGGGAGGGTAGGCTTGAAGGTTTCTATCTTGAAATATAGGTTACTTACCTTGTACAGTAACTGGAGTTCTTTGAGATGTGGAGTCCCTATCCATATTCCATGTAGGTGCTCATGAGTTCCTTGCGTCTGAGAACAGATTTTTGCTGGTAGCATCTGTTGGTTGGCACCAACGTTCTTCACCTCCTCATGCTCTGTGCCAAGGGTATAAGTGACCACACAGACCAACCACCTATCCAGTTCCTTTTCTACCACAAATCTCATGTCAAGATCTGCAGCACTGGGGAAAGAGGGAGGGTAGTGGAATATAGATAGGGATCACACATCTCAAAGAACTCTAGTTTCTGCACAAGACAAATAACCACTCCTTCTTTGAATGATGGTCCCTATCTCTACCCCATTGTGGATGACTGACAAGCAATACTCATTATGAAGGAGGGTGCGAGGACCTCTGTGAAGTCAGCAATTGCAGGACTGCTGTGACTGAAACCTCAGCAGCAGATGCCTGCATTAAAATGTAATGCTTTGCAAAGGTGTGCATAGAACCCCATGTCACTGCTCTGTAGATATCAATTAGAGGAACATCACTGAAGGAGGCTTTGCTCAAACTGAGCTCCTGTTAATGCTAAGAGGACTAAGTTGAAGTCATATTCCAGAATAGGTCTTGTTCTTATTAGTCCTTTTTGGAAACATATTGTCACTGGATGTTTGAAGATGGAGTGGTTGTCAATCAGAGGGTGACGAGCAGTGATACCTACCAGATGGACCCATACAGAGCTAAGGGAAAGAACCTTAGTCTTCAGAAAAAGGAGATAGTCCAAGACACTGAGAATGTCAGAGGGGTTAGTTGATGCGGTTGACACCAGACTGAAAACCACCTTCACTTAGCTATGCAACATTTCTAGTGGATTCTCTTCTACTATTGTTAAGGATGGCTTGAACAGCTTCTCAACATGTTGTTTCTAGGTTCAATGCTGATTAAAAAAAACAGGCTTTGAGGTGGAGATAGGCAGGTTGAGTTGGGGTGCTTTATCTTGCCCTCTTTCTGGGTCAAGCAGTCTGGGAATGGTTGGATTGTCATATGCAGTCGAGCTGACATCTATAGAATACTGAGGTACCAGAATTGTCTAAGCCACCTGGGAGCAACCGGTATGATCATTATTTTCTTCTACTTGGTTTTTTGCAACACTGAAGTAAGTGGGATGGGTGGAAAGACATACATCAGCTCGTCTGACAAAGGTACTAGAAGTGTGGTCCCCCTCTGGATCCCTGACCTTCACCCCCTCTGGAGCAATAGGTCCTACATTTTCTTTTCTCCTGAGTCACAAACAAGTCCCAAGATGCACCTACATACCCCCCCCTTTTGGTGGAATATGGTTTGAACTACTGAGTCATGTAGTTCCTATATGTGATTCCTGGATAAGAACCTGGTGAGGCTCTTTGCCAGAGTACTGTGTATTCCTGGAGGGTATACTACTGATAGAGTGCTGTGATGGTGAATACACCAATTCCACAGATTAACAGCTTCAATACATAGCAGGGTGGAATCTCACACCTCATTGCTTGTTGATGTACAATACTGCAACATGTTGTCTAACATCACTTGAACATGCTTTGTGTGTATGACAGAAACTGGTTACAAGCCTTAAGGACTGCTTGCAGTTCTAGGAGGTTTATGTGCATCAGAGCTTTTGAGAAGTCCATGTGCCTTATGCTGTAGGTTTGTCTAGATGAGCACCCTTCCTAACTGGGAGGCGTCCATTATCAATGTTATCTTGGGAGGTGGAGGGATGAACGGAACCCACACATACATCTGTTTTCTGTTCTTCCACTTGCATAGAGATACTCAAACTCAGGGCTTGGGACATATGCTGTCCTGAGCCAAGCTTGTAGGCAATGAAGTCAAAGCCTTGCGAATGATGTCACGTATGTGCAGGCAGCCATGTGACCTGAAAGTGTGAGACACAAACAAACAGATGTTGGTGGGCTGATCTGGAGCTGGGCAGCAAGTGTCTTCATGGTCTGGAACATGTCCAAAGGAAGGTATCCTCTGGCCCTGATAGAATCTAGTGTTTCCCCAATAAATTCTATGTTTTGTGTAGGAACTAAAACAGATTTATCTGTGTCTACACAGATTACCAGTGATCATAACAGCTTAAGTAGGAATGATGTTGCTGAGAGAACCACTTGATAAAAGCTCCCCATCAAAAGCTGGCCGTGGCAGTAGGGAAAAATTAATGACCTGCTGTGGCGGAAGTGAGCTGCCACTACTGATACTACTTTTGTGAACACTCTTGGGGCTGTTGAAAGACTGAAGGGAAGCACCTTGTGCTGGTAATGGTTCATACCTACAGTGAACCTGAGAAATCTTTCTGTGTGCTAGATAGATGTTTATGTGAAATTGGCATCTTTTACGTTGAGAGCTGTGAACCAATCTCCCTTGTTTGATGAGGGAATTATTGCTGCCAAAGTTACTATTCTGAAGTGTACCACACAGATGAAGACATTGAGCTGATGCAGATCCAAGATGGGTCTCCATCCTCCCTTCTCCTTGAGAGTATGGAAGTATTTTGAATAAAACCCTTTTCCCACGGTACTGGTGAGTTACCAGTTTTATGACTCTTAGATGAAGGAGTCATTTTCCTGAACAAATATCACCTCAGGAAAGTGGTCCCTGAAGAGGGAAAGGGATAGCGGTTGTGGGGAGAGGAACTCTATAGTGTAACTGGTATAAAAGATGTCGAGGATCCATCTCTCCAATGTTTTACTCTGCCAGGAGTGGATGAAACAGGCTAGACAAACACCAAATTGGGTATGACAGTCTTGGTTAGATAACACTGGCAGTTGAGTTGGTTTGCAGTTCTCTACAGTCCCATTAAAAGTGTTTCTGTACAGATGGCTGGAATTGGAAGGCAGAAGCAGGAGGAGTGTTATGTTTGCCTTGTTGCACCCTTTGTCATTTCCTTGGTGGTTCATAACCCCTCTGGTGGAAAAAAAGGTTGGGATGTTTGTCTTTGTTTATCTGACTGTGGCCTATAGAACTTCCTCTTGGGTGCTGGTATGAAAATCCTCAGGGAGCAGAGGGTTGCCCTTGAGTCCTTCAATGAACATGGGGACTCATTTGTCATCTAGTTAAAATGGTTGTTTCCTTTAAAGGACAAGTCCTCCACTGTAGACTGAACTTCTATCGAGAATCCGGAGGAGTAAAGCCGTGATGCTCTTCTCATGACAACAGCCGTCGCCATTGAGTGAGAGGTTGTATCAGCTGCACCGAGTGTGGTCTGCAGTGATGATCTTGCAATCAATTTACCTTCCTCAATGAGTACCTCAAACTGACCACTAAACTCCTGTGGAAGATTATCTGTGAATTCCATGAATTCGGTATAGTTGACAAAAATCATATTTAGACATTAATGCCTGACAGTTTGCTATACAAAATTGCAGGGTGGTGGAAGAAAAAACCTTCCTGCTGAATAGATCAAAGCATTTAGCTTCATTATCAGGAGGTGGATCTTTGATGAGGTTGCCTGCTGCTTTCTGAGGCTGTCTCTACCTCCAATGATTTTGGTACAAGGTGAATGAATAAAAATACTGCTCCTTTGGCTGTCACAAAAAAATCTTTTTTCTGTTGTCTTGAGGGTGAGAGCACATGTGACCAGAGTGTGCCAGACCACTTTTGCAGGTTTCAAGATGGCTTAATTGATGAGCAGTGCCACACTGATGTGCCCCACAAACTGCAGAATATCTAAGAGTTTATGAGTTGTGTCTTCCACAGGGATCTGCAGCGTGTCTGCCACCTTCTTTAGCAAGTCTTGAAATTGCCTGAAATTGTCAGGGGGAGATGAGGAGACAGAAGCAACTACCTTGTCTGATGATGACAAAGAGAATCCTGTTGGATCAGTCAGCTCCAGTTAGTCTTCCTCAACTCTTTCCTGTGGTAGTTTTGTTTCCTCTCTGTGGGGAGAGGGGTGCTGTAATTCAAGGAAGGATCATGTAGACTTGGAACCATGAGTGTACAGGTCCCAGGATCGCCAGTGTGATCTGTACAATGAGTCTTCAGAACTGGGAG